AACTAGATTAAACCCAAAATAGATCAGGATGCAAGCCCTTAATAGGAGCTTGACCTATTTCCACTCCTAACTGTGGGAAACAAGGCGGGAGGAAAGATAAAAAAAGAAATTGGGAGAAAAAAATTTTAAGCTTATATAAGGTGAAATAAAAAATAAAATAAAGGACATCTTCGTTCCTCGAAAAATAAAATAAAAAATACGAGAACGGTTTAGATTAAAATAGTCTAAGCCCAATAAAATGGACTTGTTTAATTAGTTTTAAGCCTGTGAAGCTGTTGGGGCTGCACGAACGTGGCCCAGTAAGGGTGTCTCTCCCACACAGTAGCCATTTCTTCGATGGGAATCCCCTTGGTCTCTGGAAGAAATACGTTGATGAAGATGCTCATGATGGCCGCAAAGCACGCGAAGAAGATGAAGAGGCCGAACTTCATGTCGCACAACATTGCCGTGAAAACTTGCGCCACCGCGAATGTGAAGATCATGTTGACGGAAACGTTCACACTCTGCTCCGCCGATCTCACCTCCAGCGGAAATATCTCACTCGGCACCAACCATCCCAGAGGACCCCACGACCAGGCGAATCCCGGCACGTACATGCATATGCATGCCACCGCCAGAATTGCATACCACATCAGCAACACTCCGGGATTCCCACTCACCCCAAACTTCATCGCGATCGCAATTGTTATCACCACCTGCAATCAAAACCATATATAAATAACAACGTGTTTATCAGCCAACTACAGAAGCCGAATGGCTTGAATGTTACCTGGCAGATCAACATCTGGAGACCACCTTCCAAGAAAAGGGTTCGTCGTCCGAATTTATCGACAGTGAAAATGGAAACAAGTGTGGCAGACGAATTGAAAGCACCGGTGATGACGGCAGACGCAAGGGAAGCCGACGCTCCGAAACCGATGGTCTAGAACAAAACAGGAGCGTAGAAGGTAATGACGTTCATGCCGGTGAGCTGTTGGAAGAAGGGGATGGCGATGGCGAAGGTGAGCTGAGGTCTGTACTTCCTCGTGAGAAGGGTGGCCCAGGGGTGTTTCACGGCACCGGAGGCTTCACTGGCGGCGACCAGGTCCTTGAACTCCTCGTCGATGTCGGGAGTCCCACGAATTTTAGCCAGCTCTCTTTTGGCTTCCTCGTGATGACCACGTTCAATCAACGAGTTTGGCGAGTCGGGAAGGAAGATGGCTCCGAGTATGATCATAATCGCAGCACTCCGGCCAGCCCCAAGCTGTATCGCCACCCTTCTCCGCTCGGCAATTGGGCAAAAAAGTAGTTCAACACCGTTGCCACTAATATGCCTATTGTGATGGCCAATTGGAACAACATGTTCAGAGCACCTCTGTACTTGTACGGCGCTACCTCCGATACGTAGATAGGCACAGACTGTTCGAAAAAAGAAAAAAAAAAAAAACGGAGAGAGTAAGAACATTAATATATAAGCATCTCAAATGAGAATGTTGGGGATGTGTTTGTTAAGGAAAGAACCTGATTGGCACATCCGATGCCAAAACCGAGTAACATGCGACCGAAAATGAGCATCCAGACGGCTTTGGCGAAGCCGTTGAGGAGGGCGCCGACGGTAAAGAGGGTCGGACGCCACCGGTGATCATGGTGATTATTCTTCCCATGAGTCTGGTTATGGTGGACGCTCCGAGAGATGAAACCAAAGCAGCGGGATTGAGGGAAGAAGTGAAGAGCGTTAATATTTGACTGTCGCCTTTACGATACTGATTGGTTGAAGCTTGAATGCTGTGTTCTTTGGCGTAAACTTCTGGGAAGAACTTCATCAAAAAAGGATCCATGGACGTAACACCACATACATCATCATCATCATCATCAGATAATTAACTAAGCATGATTCCAAATATATGCGTAAAGCAACCGAAATATTAAGAAGTTACCAACCAGAGATGCCAAGGTCATAGCCAAATATTAAACCTCCAAAGGCAGCGACGAGGCACGTGATGAAGACTCTTCGAGTAAGTTTACCTGGATAATTTTTTTTTAGTGACGTCGCCGCCGCTACAAATGTGCCCTACTGTCATCTTGGCGATTCAATTCAAGAGAAAGCTATAACGCTATACAACCTCTCTTTCCCCTCTATTTATATTACCTGGAGTTCGGTTATGGTAGATACCTATCATGTGTTTTATCTTTAAATTTTTAAATAATATTAATATTAATAACGTTATTGGTTCAGTTATTGAGATTTATCAGTTATGATTTACAGCATACAAATAGATTGCATCATCCTAAGGAAATACATTTTGGATGTCAGTCAACAGAAATTTTGAATTTTCAAACGCTGCTTTCGACTTTTTATGTTCATTCTATATGACTTCATTCAATAATTAGGTCCAATAAAAAAAACGTAAAGGGAAAATTTTAATTTTTGCTTTCAAAGAAAAACAGCGGACCTTGAAAGCTTCTGTTTAGCTGCAATATTTTAATAATATATATTCCATGTTAAATTTTAATCTTCATGTTATAAAATTATAAGTCTTTATAACCTACATTATTCCCATTTGAATTCGAAACCTATATTTAATACATGCACTTTAAATCCTTAAAGTACAGATTAACAATTATAAATTTGTACTTCACTTAAAATTAATGAATAGTTAAATTTATCTGAATTTCAATAACTCAAATAGTATTGACATTTAATGTCTACACTAAATACAATCATCGAATCCAAATCTTTACACGAGACATACGCCTTAATAAATTTAATTTAGGATTAGATATTTTAGTTTTTAAATGAGATATATTTCTTATTTTAAAATTATTATTTTAAAATAAAAAATTTCTTACTTCAAAATCATTCTACATTAATATATATGTCCATTTCTAGCAAGTTAAGATTTAAATCATATCTTTTCCATTTTAATTATAAAAGTTCAAAAAATATCTTCTTATTTCTCTCCTCGTATCTTTTAAATTTTAATTATAACTTTTCAAAAATATTCCACTCATTCTCCTCCCAACTTCTTTACGGTTATCTTAATTTTCATCCGACACTTCTTTAAAGCATCTACTTTGATTTTCTATTTGGAGGAGGAGATTCCCATGCTTCTTTTATTTAATGAGGGGCATTTATAGAAGAAAAGCAGTTAATAGCTCAGGAAGTATCTTATATTATGAATTAACAAAACAACCCAACATTAGAGAAAATTGGGTTCTGATAACTAACTAAATAAGTGGAATGACTCATAAACTTATTATCTTTTTAGATTTTGGGTTAAGATGCATTGTCAATCCCACTCCTACTTTTATTTAATTGAGTTACACAATATACTCGTATCAGGCTCAAATTTTATATTGTGATTTGAGATAGGGGTCCGATGAGGGAACTTTTTCTTATGATGACGAAAAAGGGGGAAATCCCTGAACAAAATTACACTAAAACAGAACAGGATATAACAATTATCCTAAAAAAATATTAACCCCAACATAAACAATCTTGATGTAAACTATATATATATATATATATACCTTTATAGGAGATGAAAATAAAGGAGTGGCTTTAATTATGTAATGTGTTTGTGTGAAGGGAAACCAACAGACAAGGAAATCAATACAAAGCAGTAATTAATGATCGAGGCATGTGAGATCACAGAAGCCAACAGGTGTTGCGGCAACCAAACATAAAGCACTTGCCTTGTTGCCCAAATATGGTCCATATAATTTAATACAACCATCAAAAACAAGGCTTGATGTTAAGTTATAAATAGCACTTGAACCGAATTCAAGCATTTTTGTCATCATTTTCCCTCTTCATTTCAATGTTTCCCTACAAGTCATTTTTAATTAATTTCTTTTCAGAGTTATATACAAGCAAAATACATAAAGGAGCCGCAGGCGTGGATATGGAATATCCTGATGCAACTATCAATAGGTTAAGCAATATATAAGAAGTAATAAAAATAAATTGTTGTTAATAAAATCTTTGCACTTTCCATTTGTAGGCATTCCATCGATACACCACATATAAAAAATACAATATCTTCGCAAATTGATAATCATATATACAAGTCACATATATCAGGTCTCCACGATATCACCTGGCCCACTTGGTTTCCGTAAAATACAAAGAGAAAGAAAAAAAGGTGACTTAGATAATTCTTACATATTTTAACTTTTTCTTTGGCAGGCAAGACCGATTAAATAAATTTAAAGAGATACTAGTAAATTCAAAGTTGAAGTATATATTTGATTCTCTAATTTTATACAATATTTTAATTTTTTTAATTTTATAAAATATATTTTTAGTTATTTAATCCTAATACCATTAGTTTTAAATGATTATTTTTTTGCCAATCATCACTTTTTTTTTTTAAAAAATAAACTCAATAAGTTAACATTTTCAAGAATGCTTTATCAATATTTAAAAATTTAATATAAAAAATTTGTGATGAAACTAACTATATTAAAATTAAAAGATTGAAAATATAGTTTATAAAATTAAAAAACTAAAATAAAATTTTATATAAAATTAAATGATTAAAAATATACTTTAATCTAAATTTGACCAAAGATTATCAAAATTCTAGAAGAAACAACTTCTCCAATCTCTGCAAAGTTAGTTCGTACAAAAAATTCTATTCTATTCTCTTCAATTAATTAAATCAAAGAGCGGATTTCGAATCATGATAGGTAAGAACATATTTTTTCCATGCCGTAATTAAATTAACACATAGAGGCATTGATCTAAGACTAATGAAGAACATTTTTTCATCAAATTGTGGTTCAATTTAAATGCTTATCGGAGCGACATGAGCACCTTCAACATTGCAGTTCAAATTCATCATCCATGCGAGAATAGAGTCACTGTACAAAAACATAACCGCCCCTTTTTAACCTTCGCTTTGCGGAAAAGCAAAGATTAAAATTAGAAAACAACGGTAGCTGCGTGACCTCAAAATGAGAAAAAGTAAACAAGAAAGATGTCAAAAAGTAGAAAGTAGCTGTCGTTAATCAGCGTCTCATGCGTGTCACGACAAGAATTGGGGTATGTACCACAGACTCGAAGGTCCCAACTATGAAACATCATCAATCAATCAGTCATTCACTCCCTCTCTGGTCATTACTCATTTAATCTTGTTCCATTCGCTAGCCGAACCCAAAACCCTATCAATGGAACCCAGCTAATTAAGTTCTGCATCACTCAGCTCTCCCGCGAAATCCCCACGCTTTCCTTTCTTCACACATGCCCTCGTTGTTGTGTATTTATAAACCCCACCTCATTTTTTTACTTTGCTAGTGTGACCAATTCTTCCTTCCCTCTTCTTCTCCCTCTTCAAACTTATTCACTGTGCCATATATGTCTCTCTTCGGCTAAACAAAACGAGTGGACTCCACGTGTCAACACCAATAGGCATGGCGTCATCGTCGTCTTCCAAGAGCAAGAGGCACCCGCTGTACCATGGGATTCGGTGCCGTGGTGGAAAATGGGTGTCTGAAATCCGGGAGCCACGTAAGGATTCTCGCATATGGCTCGGAACGTTCCCGACTGCGGAGATGGCCGCCGCCGCCTATGATGTGGCGGCGTTAGCCCTCAAAGGGAGTGACGCCGTCCTCAACTTCCCTGACTGGCTCAGTACTTATCCAGCACCGGCGTCTTCATCTGCCGCCGACATTCGCAGCGCCGCCACAGCTGCAGCCGCACTCATGGCGCCGTCTCAAGAACGGACTAAACCCACTGACGCTGTTGATGTCGCAGGTAATGTTGATCATCGGAATGACAGCAATGTTGGGTGGTCTGAAACAGAATTTGTGGACGAGGAAGCAATATTCGACATGCCGAATTTGCTCGTGGACATGGCAGGGGGAATGCTACTGTCCCCTCCCAGAATTAACCCGCCACCCTCCGATAACTCTCCCGACGACAAGCCGTACGGAGAAAATTTGTGGAACTATTTTTGAGCCTGTAAGTTACGGCAAAAGAACCTTGAATAGGCAAAATTGGGATCGAAAGCTCCTACATACCGAAGCCACTGCATAATTAACTAACAATATACATGGGAATGGGAATTCGTCTCGGAATTAAGTGTGTCCTGAAATGTTTCTTCGCGTATGTGTTTTCTTTCCAATCATTTCAGGGATTGCAAGAGCGTTAGTACTTATTACATCCTGCTTTCATTTTCGCATGTGTACGCTTTGGGAATAAACAAATATAAAAGCACATAATGACAGGGACTTGACTCGACCCATGCAATGTAATGTCCCTTTTAATTATGATAATTTTATATATTTCAATTAAATATGAAGTGAGTGCAGGGAGGGGGGGTTTTACCGACTCCGGCTCGCAATAGCCTTAGGGGGTCCCACTGGGAACACAAAATGATCCCGTTTGATTAAGACCGACGGGAGACACTCGACACGGATGATATGCTAATAAAGGTCATGAGAGTCAACAAAGTGTCTGTTTGATTAAACATTTCTGCTGTTTAGTTTTCTGAGTTTGCAATCATGCCACCATAAGCGTGGTTCCTCCCCCTTGATTCAATTTCTTTCCAATCCATGCCACAGTTACATTCATAAAAAGTGGCACTATATCAGTTTAAAGTAACCCATGTGCTTAATAATAATTACTTTTTAGCTGAGCTTTTGCACTTTTAAATTCCGAATCTCCATTGTTAAACTTCAAACAAAGATACAAATTTATTAACAGATTAGACACTTTTTGGCTTTGGTATAGTAAATCATGAATTCTTCAGAAAAGACGCAAGCGCTTGGCAATAAGGAAATTCGGATACTCTTTTGGTGTTCGCAACAGTCTTGCCATTCGCTGTGTTAAAGCGTCAATCTGGGACTCGAGAGAGGGTGACACAGCCCAGGCTACAGAGAGCCTCAGAACATCCGCTCTTATCTTTTATTGATATGATATTAAAGTAAAATATCACAAATAGCTTCTACCTATGAATTAAGAGTAGTGTTATGCTAATTACTTATGATCCATTTAAAGTGGTGTTATGTCCATTATATTAACAGTAGCGTTATGCTAATTACTTATGAAATAAACTTGCTAGAATTATGAAATTGCATACTTAACTAGATGGAAATAGAGTGAAATGGCATTGCTTAATTAAAATCTCATTTGATTTATTTGACAATATATGCATATACTATACATTTGATATAGTGAAAATATAATATGAATATAAAACAATTATTTTTGCTAATATTAAACAATTATGAATTGAGTAATCTGACGCTCAATATTTTTGAAACATTTATTTAATGATTTTTAGTCATTGAATATTCTTGATTTATTAAACTATTTTTAACCCAAAACCATTTGATATGTGTTTGAGGTATTGAGGGGACGAGTGGGAATCAAAATATTAAACAGTTCTAGCACCAAAGCCATTTAATATTCTTAAACATAAAACGATTCTATCGCAAGAATTGTTTAATATCGTAGCACTATTTATTTGATCATAATATTAAATCGTTTTCCCTCATGACCATTTAATATTATGACTAATTTTTTTAAAAATACGGGGTTATGTTTCTAGCAGTCTCCTTGCATTGTACATTACAGAATTAAATTCTAACACCTCGGAACAGAAATTTCAACCAACAATAATCACATATGCATGAAATATACATTATAAATTCCTATGCAAAAGCTATTTACAATTTTAAGTTGCTTAACTTAAATGAATTAGTGGCCAAAATAAAGCTTCAAAACCCAAAAATTGGCCAAGTATATATACACCTATATCATTTATGTCAATTAACTTTAAATATAAACCTATATTATCTATTTTGTATTGTTGCTACTGCTACTAGTTGTTATAGCTAAACCAAGTTTGGAAAATACTATGTGCCAACTCTTTGAGGACTTCTTCCAATTGAGTCTCAATAAATATGTCACTATATGCGTCGCGTCCTCGTAGTACTAAACACAAAAACAACAACAACAACAAATTAAAATCATGTTAGTTAAAAAAATAATAATATAATTATGAGAAGGTTGAAAACATTATATATTCTCTGGAAGAGTCCCAACAGGGATCATGTTAGATCATGTCCTTCATGATAGCACATAACCATAATCCTTGGCTTTCTAGAGTTGTTCTAGGCATTGCAATCACATAGTGGATAAAAAAAATCTGAGCAATTAATGATATGACATGACTTATAGGCATGTTGCTAACATAATTAATGATAAATACATATACCTTAATAGCTATTTATAATGCCATTGTATTAATGTCATTGCTACCTCTTATTAGTTGGCAGAGTTGCTAATTGATGTTAGTGTAGTATGTGACAATGGCCCTAACGTGCAATAGAAGAGTTGATATGAAAAATATTCATATAGAAAGAATTAGAATTACATACATTTATGCACAAAATTAAACTTAGTCAACTTACTAATTAATCATCTCTACTATATGCAATCTATTGCCAAGATCGCCACCATTAATAGGGTCAAGGTGCCATACTCTCTCTATAATTAGATTGATCATAAGTAATATCCAGTGTCCCTTGTGACAATAACTACAATTAAAAAGTATCACATAATTTAATTTTGAAGAAAGTAAAGTATCATAAAGTGACTTACCCTTCATAATAAAGCACTATAAATATTATGTCCTTGTCGAGGCCACATTACTGGAAGTACTTAGAAAGCTTCATGAGAAAAGACTTTGTGGAGACTGACAAGTACAATCCTTTATGCTATATCTTTTCAAGTAAGCATAGTGGTGTAAATGTATCTTAAATGTCAAAATAAGTTGATTAATAAACGATTAAAGTGTGCGTATATATATAACTAAACATTTAATGTAAGGTTGTAGAAATTTAACTCATATATAAGTTATATAAGATAGTGGTAGCCTGTTCATGATTGAATAAGTCAATTATTTGCAAGGAAAGGGACCAGCACTCCTTGTGTCTCAAAGCAAGTCTTAAGCAACTTTCAGTATCTGTTAAGTGTAATTACAAGACACTTAAAGGCTCAGGCTTGAAGGAGAGCCAATACCTTCTTGGAAAATGTGATCAACTCCTTAGTTTTGTCAAAGTTCTCCTTATCATTTCCCCTCTTTCGCTTAGTCAATGATGATTTTATAACCTCTAATGCTTTCTTTCCCACCAGTTTATCAATAGGATAGTTTTTCCACATATAAATAGTTGGAGATCAACTACAAATACATGTAGGAGGAATTTAAATTTCATTATGAGTTTAACTGCTATACCTCTAGAGATGGCACTAAAATAATATAAGACGAACTGGCCATGCTGCAAAGCCTCCTAGTGTATCTACTATTATCCTTATGTCTTTAGTGGGGGTAAGGCAAATTGCAATTAGGGTCCTCAACTATCTTCAAACTAACCTTCATTATCCTTTTAAGGATAGTCTCATTGTGAAGCATGATTTGCCCAGCAATGTTATACACATGTCCCAATACAATCATATGGCTGCCTTTTGCTAAACAATCAACATTTGGCCTCACCTTAAGGGGAAAAAAAGACAAAATCATTATATAATATGAATAAATTTAAAATGAATAAAGCTAGTAAAATGAATAGCATTACCTCACGTAGGAGTTGAGATGGGACTGTACAATTGTTATTCCCATTAGGGCTAGTGTCCCCAAATAAAAGCCCTAACTGATGGCGGTTCAGCAGCATGTCAATGAGTTTAGACTGTTCTTTTATTTGTTGCTTCTTTTCTACTAGATCTTGCCTTAGTTCTTCAACCTTGATAGAAAAGGCAATCTTTTTACTGTGCTTTTACCTCTCTCAAATGTATTCTTTCCTTGTGATGTTGAAGCTGACACCCTAAGTAAAACTGGGATAGTTAGTATTCTCCAATGCCTTCCCTGAGATATCCATATTAGCAATAAGAGTGCCTACTGACAGCTCTTAAGTAAGATCTCTTGTGAAGCAATAAAGGTAAAGTGAATAACTAAAAATAAATAAATAATAACATTATATCATTAATACTTACTATTGTGTTAATAACGGCCTTTCTTTTTAGGTTGTTAATATTGCCTTCTTTGCTTTTTCAAACTGTAGCCTAAATCTTACCATGGGATATAGAACCATCTGGCACTTGCTCTTTTTCAATCAAGTTCGTCTCAATGCTCATATACCCCTTGCACCTAGCTTTTTAGGTATACTTATTCTTCTTTGCTAATTTTTTTGTTTATGGGCCTTAATGCCTTATTGGTAACGACATTGCAATGGTAGAAAATGATTGTTTTTGGCCTAACACTACTTGTTGATGATGGGCATAGGGTTTGAAGTGAAGAGATAGTGAAGGCGAAGTGCAGATTTTAACATCTCAAATAGGCATCTATAGGGGCGTTTTAAAATTTTAAAAGGCATTATTCTATAGTTATTTATAAATAATTATTAAGTAATATCTATTAAATACACAACCATTTAATAGTTTGTAAAATTTTTTAAATAAAAATAAACAAAACTACTCAACGATTTTTTCTAATAATTGCTGACTAAATGCTTCAATTAATAAATGGTTCTCAATATAACCATTTAATAATTAATATACAAATTATCATCTATATTTACATTACAGTTCTCCAAGTAATCATTTAACAAATCACTACTACAAAAATGTAAATATAAGACACCATGAAAAATGACGGTTAAATAAAAACATGTCATATATGAGATAGGCGGGTGATAATAAGAAAATAAATGATGAGTTTTAAAACAACCATCATATATTATCAGACTTTAAATGACAGGTATTAAAAAAACTCGTCATTTATTTCAACCCAACATTTCATTTACTGGAAGAAAAAAATAAAAAAAAATTTAAACTTTAAATGATGGGTATTTGAAATACCCATCATATAAAGTTCAAACAATATATGAGTTATACAAAAAACAGTCATATATTGGTGCCTATCGTTTCAGATTCTTAAATTAAAAAAATAAAAAATTTTAAAACTTTAAATGACGGGTGTTTAAAACATCCGTCATTTAAAGTCCGGAATGATATATGACAGGTTTGTTAAATACTCATCATATATTCATGGCCAACATTTCATTTTCTTGATTTAAAAAAATAAAAAAAAAGGCTTTAAATGATGGTTGTTTGAAACAACTGTCATTTAAAGCCTTGCTTGTATATGACGGGTATATGAATACTCGTCATTTATTCTCACTTTTATTCAGTTTTCTAGTTCACTTTTTCATTCCCGTTCGTCATCTCTATTTTTTCTTTTCTCCACTTCTACAGGAAATCGGTAGAAATCTCTTAATTTACCTCCATTGTTACTGTTGACCACCTTAGTCCCTCGTCGATGTGAAAGTGCTCCTCCTACACCGTCCGTTGCCTCTCTCATTCGCTTCCTCTTCATATTTCATCCTCTCTTCTCCAAGGTACATGGGTTTGTAATTTCTATGATTTTTCTTCATTTTCTTTCAATATGCTTAGATTTTTAGATTATGGGATTGATTTATTTAAGATTATGGATTATTTTATTTGTTGATTTTTGTTGTTTAAATTTCTCCTCATTTTTTGCCCATTTTAATATTGTGGGGTGTCAAAAATTACTAATGTTTGGTGTTTTATTAACTTGAGAATGATTGTAGATGATATGCCTTACCTTAGGATGATTATTAAGATAAAAATTAGTGATCAAAATGGGATATTTGTGATGATTGTATTTTTCTATGAATTTTGACTAATTTATTTCAATAATTTTAATTTAAATTTCGTGCATTGTTTGATTAGAGTAGTTTTATTTTTCAAAACTACATATTAAAATGTACTAGTGTACTAATTTTTATTACAATTGGAGTTTATTTTAGTGACAAAAACTGACGCGCGGTTTCTGTAAAAATCATTGCTATTTTATTGATATTTTTACATTTGGTAAAGAATGATTTCTTCTTGGCTTGAGATTGCTAATATAAGATATGTGTAATCTTAGAATGATCAATGAGGTAGAAAAAGTTGATTCAAAATGATGTTTATAGTGTTTTTTTTTTCTATGATTTTTGAACAAATTTATATATAATTAGAGTTAATTTGAAAATGCTATTTTGTGAGAATTTTGTTAGTTTTGTGATTGTATATGGTTGGAATTAATTTATTAAGTGAGATGTCAAGATTGAAAAGAGGGTTTTAGCCTGAGAAATACTTTCTTTATGTTGTTATGCTGCTGAATTTTTATCGGCGATTTAAAGAGTATGTGAATGCTCATGCATTGTGACTCATGATTCATTAATTACTCTATATTATATATAGAGTAGTTAATTTCTTTATTGATAATCTTTATATCATTCCTTTCCTCTCCATATTCATGAGTCATTGATCACATTTCCTTGAATGAATTATCTTTTAGATTAAAAAGTTATGGATAAATAATGGATGTCTTTCAATCAATTAAGTAAAGAGTATTTGACTAGTGTGAAAGAATTTATGAAGTTTGCTCTTGAGCATGTAAAAGACCCTAAAAGAATAGTGTGCCCTTGTGTAAGATGTGGTCTTTTGAAGCAAATTAATGCATCTGAGATGGAAGACCATTTAATGTGCTATGAAATTGATGAAAATTACAAGTGTTAGCATAAGCATGGAAAGACTAGAGGGGATGAGTCTACTAGTAATTAGGAGTAAAAAGGAAGTTTTGAATCAGATGATCATGACACAGATACTTATAAAGGTGACTGTCTTGAAGAGATAGCCAATGCAATTGAAAGGGAACTTGAGAATTTTCCTAAAATGTTAGAGATGTTGAAAAGTGATGCAGAGAAGCCTTTGTATACTAGTTGCACTGAATTTACAAAGTTATTAGCAGTGTTAAAATTGTACAACTTGAAAGTGAGTAATGGATGGAGTGATAAGAGCTTTACAGAAAATCTTACACTTATAAAACAACTTCTACCTCCGAACAACAAGCTTTCAAGGACTATGTATGAGGTAAAACAAATGATACGCTCAATTAGCATGAGTTATGAGAAAATACATGCCTGTCCTAATGATTGTATATTATTTAGAAATAAATATGCATCATTAAGGGAGTATACAAAATGTAATACCTTACGCTACAATGAGAATGGGAAGAGTCCAAAGAAGGCATTATGGTACTTTCCCATTGTACTTAGATTTAGACGGCTGTACAGTAGTACAGTGATGCAAAAAATTTAACATGGCATGTGGATGAACGGATTAAAGATGGAAAGCTTCGACATCTAGCTAACTCTTCTCAATGGAAAAAATTGATCTCAATTACCCTGACTTTGGAGTAGAAAATAGAAACCTTCGTCTTATATTATCTACTGATGGAATGAATTCACACGAGCTTCAAAGTAATAGTCACAGTACATGGCCATTTATTTTGGTAATTTACAACTTACCTCTATAGTTATGTATGAAGTGAAAATATATGATGCTATCCATTCTAATTTTGGGGCCAAAATAGCTGGAAAATGACATAGACATATATTTGGCTCCTTTAATTGAAGATTTAAAATTGTTGTGGGAGCATGGTGTTGAGGTATATTATGGACATAGAGAGGAAAGGTTCAATTTAAGAGCATTGTTGTTTGGTACAATCAATGATTTCTAACATATGGTAATTTGTTAAGGTATAGTATCAAAAGAAAACTCAGATATCTTATTTGTAAAGATGGCACACATTCAGTAAGATTAGAACATGGGATAAAGAATATCTATTTCGGACATCGTAGATAGTTGCATCCTGATCATTATTATCGACGCCTAAAAAAAGTGTTCAATGGGAATTCAGAAGAAAGTGTGGTACCTTTGCCACTGATAGGTGAGCAATATTTTGACAAGATGAAGAATTTGAATATCGAGTTTGGCAAATCTTTTACAAAGCATCTTGGGACATGTGGGTGGAAAAAAAGGTCTATTTTTTTTTACCTACCATATTGGTAATCTTTATATGTGAGACATTTTCTTGATGTGATGTACATTGAGAAAAATGTGTGTGATAGTTTGATTAGTACATTACTTCATACTTCAGGAAAGACCAAAGATGGCATCAAGGCAAGATTTGATATGATTTCTATAGGGGTAAGGGAAGAGTTGGCTCCACAGGAGAAGGAAAGTCATACATTTCTTCTTGCAGCTGCTCATACATTATCTAGAAGAGAAAAAAAGACTTTTTGTGAGTCGCTTGCTACTGTTAAAGTTATAGAGGGGTACTCTTCAAATATTAAGGGCCTTGTGTCATTGAAGGATTTGAAGTTAAAGGGTTTAAATTCGTATGATTGTCATGTGTTGATGGAAAATTTTATTCCAATAGCTATACATTCTATTTTACCTGATACTGTTCGAGCCATAATTACAAAATTGTGTTTCTTCTTCAAGTCTATATGTAGTAAAGTGATTGACCCAACAAAATTTCCAAGATTATAAAGCAGAATTGTGTTAATCTTGTGTGAACTTGAAATGCATTTTTCACATGCATTCTTCGATATAATGGTGCACCTCACTATTCATCTAGTTAGAGAGATACAAATGTGTGGTCCAGTTTTTTTGAGATGGATGTATCCATTTAAGTGTTATATGAAGATACTAAAAGGATATGTGAAAAATCAGAGTTAGCCCGAAGGTTGTATAGTTGAACGATACATTTGCGAGGAGGCAGTTGAATTTTATACTAAGTACTTATCAAATGTCAACCATATTGATATTCTGACTTCTCGACATGATAGTAGAACTGATGGAGAAGGAATTATGGGCAAGAAAGTAGTTACAATCTCCAACTTATAATGGAAACAAGCACATTTATATGTACTACACAACTCTATAAAGGTTGAAGAGTATGTAGAGATGCACATGGCCGAGCTAAAGTGGGATAACCCTAATAGATCGGAGATTTGGTATGTAAACAAGCATAATAAGAGTTTTACAATTTGGTTGAAACAGCATATTCTTGAAAAGTTGACTACCGATTCTGATTCAGTTTCTGAAAAATTAAAATGGTTAGCAAGAGGTCCAAATAAACAAGTTATTTTCTTCACTGGCTATCTCATTAATGGGTACACATTTTATACCAAAGAGCAAGATGATTGGAGCACAATGCAAAATAGTAGTATAATTCTTATAGCCCAAGCAATACATATATCTAGTACTAAAAATAAAAATTCCTTGTACGAAAAATGTTATACTTTGAGATAATTGAACACATTTGGGAGTTAGATTATATCAAATTTTAAGTTTTAATTTTTGATTGTAAGTGGGTTGATCGAAAAAATGGTCTTAAAGTTGATGACTTGGTGTTCTTAATGGTGGATCTTAATGACGGGTAAGTGATATACCCGTCATTTATGCTTCATATAAATGATGGGTATCTCATTTATTCGTCATTTAAATTCTCATTTTGCTTCTCCATCTATAAAAATTTTATTTTAAATGACCGTTTTATAACCATCATTTATTGGTGGTCTTTAAATGTCAGCCGAATAAATGACACTTATTAACCGTTATTTATTCCCTTTTTTGTAATAGGGAATGTCATTTTATATTCTCATTTTTGTAGTAGTGTGAGGGCAATCTGGAGTTTACAGAACTCAATTTTCTTCCATGATTTGATGAAGTAACCGCTGCGGCATTAGTAAAAAGTGAACAATATATATGGGGATCAAAGAAATCGTGCAAAGCAAACATAGGGAAAAAAACTACCTTTCTCCTTAATTATCCTCTTTCTTAATAACCATTTTGTACAAAAACAAACTGCCACTCTCCTTAATTATATGTGTGTGTGTGATTATATTCTTTGAATTTGTGCTTGTCATCCTTATATAAAGGCCATGTTAATCCTCACTGTGTCATTTCAATTTTATTGAATGTTCCCGAAGCAAGAACCATATATGTTTTCAATTATAGGACTATACCGTTAGAAATGGTATCTTCAATTCCAACAACCTCCACCTCCATGTACCAAAACTGTTTAATACATACTAAAATGACAGACCCACATACGGGTGACATTACTGACATACATACTTAATTTACGCTGGCTAATACAAGGCATTATTCTCTACAGTACGCGAGTGATGTATAAAAAAGGAAAAATTAATTATTCTCTACAGGGAAAATTAATCTGTATAAATATTATAAAGGTTAAAATTTTAAAATATTTTTAATTTTTATACTTTTACTTTTTAATATATAAGAACTAATATTTAAATAGTTAAAACTATATATAAGGATTTGGTGGTAAGAAGCAAAGTTTAGAAATTAAGTTACAACAAGTTAAAGTTTAGAAATTGAGTTATAATTTAATCAAGTCTACAAAAATCAAATGACTAATTTTCTCTGTAAAAAAAAGTGTTAATAGTTAAATAAATATGGACTCTCAAAGTATATCATGAGCGACATAGATTAATTAATTGTTATAACAATTCATATATTATGAAAAAAAAAATCTCTCAGGGCCATACGATAAGCAAGGTGAAATTTTTTATAATGCTACTTAATTTTAAATACAGCTAATGACGCGCAATGGCCAAGCAACGCAAATTTCAAAAGTTGGAATTTTAATTAATTCTCGATCGTATAATAAGAGCATATGGCCAGTCTTTTTTATCAGCCTCTTAAATTACTTGTTATTAATTAAGATCCCAAAAAATAATCAAAAAACTTATCACCTGCAGGGTCATATGAATTGGATCGAGTTGGTGTTGTTGGTTGTTGTTTAATTTCTAAGCGCCATAAGAAACTTGGACCATCTATCAGTCAAGTATATATGATGAGTATTGGTGAGTCAAACAGTGAAGATAAGTGGGAACTAGCTAAGTCGGCCATGAAATCAAAAAGATATATACGTGAAAGACACTGTGCTGTAGTTACTTTTGCCGGGTAACTTTATTCATTCGCAAAACCGAAAAGAAATTAAGCAATCTCCCATGGTGGGGTCTTGTCTGCGTAGCCAAGTGACCAAATCAAACTATTAAATGAGACTCACTAGCTCGATCATCATCATCATCATCATCATCAACGTATCCGTCTCTAACTTTGAAATAGTCAAGTACCGATATAATTTCTATTTTTAATTTTTTTTTCAGTGTTTGACCAGGAGAGCTTGACACAAATGGCCGACATCAATATCTATTCGTCTTTTTCTCCATCGCTTTCTTGTTTTTTCTCAGTTTCAAAGTGTAGGTTTGAACTGAGTATGACTTGGTTGTCGACCTCTCGCTTTCCATCGTTCGATTCGTTTCCACAACACATAAATGCATTCATATGTATATATTTCGGCTTCCGTCGACCCAGTTAAATCGTCAAGAGTGAATATGCACAATATTTGCACGTTCTCTCTATATTATGAGCTGTGTGTGTGTGGTCGACTTGCTTCGATTTGATATTTACAATATCACTGCCAAATCTGGCTGTCCCCACACTGTCACAACGTTTCTCCTTCACACGTCTCTCCTATATTCATCAATTCTACACTTTCCTCGCCGCTTCTTCTTTGCTATAATAATTGATCTCTTTAGTTAGCCAACAAAGATTGATTTGGTAATTAATAAAAATTTGATTCATAACTTATAAGGTTATAACTTCAAGTCATACTGCCAATATAAAAATCTTGTCGCTTGTGATGGATAATCTATAAATACTTTTATAAATATGTTTGAAAATATGCATAACACTAATGAATCTACTGGCATAACTTATCTAAACTTATTCACTTAAAAAATTATTCCATTTAATCAGTTGCCTATGAAATTAACAATATAATCAGGAAACATGTATGCATGCATGTATTGCATGGTGTGTGCCTTCGTTTGGATGGGAGAAAATAGGAAAGGCAAAATATTAGAAAGGATAACTTCTAAACAAAGTAAAAAAAGAAAAAGAAAAAACATAACTTTGATCCTTGCATTTTGCTTGAATTTTATTATAGGTTCCTGTATTTTTTGGTATTTTAAATCCATACACTTTTGTTTCTCAGTATTTTAGGTCTTTCCATAAATTGTGTTATAAGCATTTAAAACACCAAAAAACAAAAGTGTAGAAACCTAGAACATTAAAAAAAAAATACAAAGACATATAACAAAACTCAAGCAAAATGTAAAGACTAAAGTTATGTTTTTTCAAAAAAAAATTATTTTTCAAAATTTTCTCTTCCCCCTATTTCCTTTTTATTTTTCCCTAGATCCAAACCAAGCCATATATAGTCTATTATATGCTTTTAATTTGGCAAAGAGACTGAGTCCATCTATTGCTATTTGACTTTGGTGGTGCCTTTCTATTATGAAAAACAAGGGACAATTTAGCTACACAAGTGTAATTTGATTAAAATTAACACACTATACACATATATTCAACCAAAAAAAAATGTAGCATCTTATATTGGATCCAAATAGTTAATGGTGTGGAACGAATTAATAAATTTTTCACTTTTTATATAATTAAAGAAAGAAAAGTTAACGTTTAGAAAACAGTTGAGTTATTTTATATATAAATCATGTATGTGTAGTTTTTCTTCGTGTAAAACTGAATAAAAGTGACATGATAGGGTTAATTTGGTGCAATTATGCGTGAAATTTATTAAGTGAAAAACGTTGAGTTGCAAACGAAAAACTTGAAAGATCGTAGAACGCAAGTAAGGTGTGCCATGAGACACGCTCATATTTGTCTTCTCGACTTGCCAAGCTAAAGACCCTTCTCGCTTTCTATTATGTGATGTTAATTCTCAATAACATATACACCCCTACTGAAGTTTTTAACTTCAAAAATCAGCAATAAATGGTCCACCAATTATCATGATTATTAATTATTTAATTTCATTCTTTAACTTTTGAGTTTAATTAACCTTTGACATACTTACAAGAATTCATATCTCTGCATGGAAAGAAATTATTCTTATAAGTCGATAATGGAATGCGTTTTTGTCAAATTTCTGAGAGATTCGTTAAATATTCCCAGCTAGGAGTTATTAGGCTAGGCCAAAATTTTTATTTTCATTTTTTGACCTGCTTCACCTGACAAATTGGACTAAATTGCTAAAAACTGAAAATAAGGTAAATGGAAAGGTATTAGTTGCGTATGTGTATGCTATTGAAAATATGAACCTCACTTGAAAATTCACCAATTTATAATTTGTGAGAAATTACTTCTGGCAACTGAAAATAAGATTACTGGAAAAAAGGGATAATTGCACTAGAGGCCCTCAAAACATAAAAAGTTGCACTTTTGGTCTAATAGAATATGATAATGTACTGTAGATCTAAGGGCTTTTGTTGTAATTTTTGTTAGGAGTAAAATTATAATTTTTTCCCTTTCAAAACAAACCAAGCATCGTCTAATCTTCTTCCTCCTCTCCTCTTCTTCTTTGCCTTCCTCTTTCCATCCCTCTTCATCCTCACAGCATTGCATTATAGTTTCACAATTCTTCCATTCCCTCCTCCATCTTCTCAATCTAGTTGTTCTTCTTACGGTGAACCAGCATACAAGAGCAAGGTTCTACACATCTTGATCTTGCTACCTTTACTATCATCCCCAAACAACTTTTGCATATCACTCTTCCTAGATTAATAGTGTAACATCCTGATTTTTTATATAATAAAGAAATTGTGGAATTTAGGTTTTGAGAAAAAAAAATGATAATAATAGGAATTTATATTATTTGAGGTTATTTAGAAATAATATTATGGTTAGGTATTTAATTATGAATTTAAAAATTTAAATTTAAAACAACATAAGCAATATTTAGATAAGATATAATATATAAATAATTTTTTTATGTGTGTGTTTAAAAAAAAAAGAGAAGGTAGAAGGAACAAAAAAAAAGGGGGTAGAAGGTTGTTGTTTTTAAGTCCCACATTGGTTAGATGAGGGAAGAGAAGAGGTGCCTTCATGTATAAAAAGGAGGGGGTGTGTGCATTAGGAAGCATGAGAGGCTAAGATGCAATTTAGAGAAAATTGCAACTTTTGGCCCAAAGGTTTGAATAATTAAATTCAAACCTATAGTTTTTTTTTAATATAATTTTGGGACTCACAATCCCATTTTTATATTATTTTTCTCTCTTCCTCTCACGTTGCTCGGCGTTTTCTCGCAAGGGAGGATTATTTTCTTTTTCTTCAAGTATGTTCTAACTTTCCTGTTTAGATTAGCATTTAAAAATTTATTTAATTACAAAATTAATTTTATAGTTATTTTCTAAATAATATTAGCTTTCTAGTGATATGATTATTTTGTAGGATAGAGTAAATATTTTGATTAGGATTTTTTTATAGGATAGTTAATCTGATGATATGATAGATTAAAATATAGGTTAAAACTCTTAGGGATATAATAAATATTATAGAATATTTTCTTGAGGTTGAAACTCATGTTTAAGAATTTTTGAGTTAAAATCTAGATCTATATGGTTGAATTTATGTGGAATCTGAGATGTAGGGATAAATCTCTGATTATTAAATATTTATTTAAGTATGAATAGGTATTTTTGAGGTTATAGAAAGGTGATTTGAGGTTTCAGGATAATTCTAAAATTTTTAATTTATTTTTGAACGAATTTTTAGAATATAGAATGATGAAATTGTGATACTAGAAGTGATTTGAGGATAAAAAAAATAGTTTATTAGGGTACGAGAATTTTAGAAAAGAATTTAGAAAGTTAAATGAGGCATAAATCTTAAATTAGTATTAATATGGATTATAGATCTAAGACTTTCTAACTCTTTAAATTAGAGTTATTTATTTTAATGTAAAATTAATATATAGTATTGTGAAATAATTATATAGATTATATTGATAAAGATAGTGGTGAAAAAGGAGTTGTGAAGGGGAACTTGTTATTCAAGACACAAGGTAACCATTATTAATGTGTTGTGATGAGTGTGTTTGTGAACGG